TCACGGAATAGGAGTGGGGAGCAACTCCCCAGCGAGTACCTCTCCTTTGGGAGGGGACTGGGCTCATTAATGGGGCATCCCCAAAAGGGCAAATGATGAAGGAGGATGAGCAATTTTTACACGGTATTGCGGTTAAACCCACTTTAAATCATGACCTTGTGTCACACTCGGAATTGTGAATAAATCAAATAATCTAATACTTAGATCTGATAGAAAACGTTTGCAAAATATTAAATTCAAGATTAGTTTTGGTTTCCCCACAGAAGAATTTGTAATAACCCAACTGAAATTGGAACTCGGCTCTCCGATTAAAAATTCTGAGCCGTTATCCATTACACCGTCCTCACATCCAAGCTTACAGCACATTGTAATCCAAAACGGTCACCCATCTAGGTACTGATGTTGCTTAACTTCGGTGATCACACCGGAACCGGTGTTTCAACTTGATATGACCATAAGCCGTACATAATTACAGGCTTCGAGAAAACTGCCAACCTTTACTCTGCGTAGATTCTCTGAAACTTTCTTGAATTGTGAAGAGTCTTGTTGGCACTATACCTCAAGAACAGAATTTCCATTGACTCCGTCACTGTGCGATACCAACATAATAATACTTCTATTAATTATTATCTTGGAATGGAAATCTAAAAAATATGGCACATGAGGACATCAATAATTCCAGTTGTAATTGAAGCTCTCGGATTGATTGGAAAAGATTCCACTAGACTCATTGAAAGGATTCCTGGTAGCCCATGAATTAAAGAAATACAACAAATTGTACTCACAAGTACAGCTCACACCTTACGAAGAGCTTTATCTATGTAAATTGTGTGTGATCATAAGTTGATTCTTTTTTTTTTTTACAAAAATGATCAGTGGAAAATGTCATGAAGCCATCTCTAATCTTAGGTCTCTGGTTGGGACCCGGAAGGAAATGTGTATACAACAGAAAGCCAAGGAAAGAAAAAAAAAAGATATTATTATTATTATTATTATAAAAATTTACAAAAAAATAGAGATAAAAAGATAAAAGTATATTGAAAAAAACTAATATGGCTGATAAGTTAGTAACAATTCTTAAAGAATGTTTTCTCTTGTCTTGGAGAAAAAAATACTTTGTCCCCTTTTCTGGAATATCAGGAAAATCTTAAGTGTGTCTTGAAGGAAGAATATAAATGTTGGAGTAGGGAAGAGAAAAATCACCTTACTCGAAATTGGATATCTTTTAATATCAATTCTCAAGGGAAGTCAGACAGGTCTCTGATTTTTAGATATAATTCAAAGACATGTCAATTACTTGTTTTAGAAGAAAGAAAGAAAAAGCCGATTCCTTTTACCTTTGCTACCAAATTCGACTCTGAAACCTTTTCTACCCACCACACCTGCCTAGTATTGTGTTACTGTACTAATACCAGCCCTATGTCCCCAGTGACCTTTCTTCTGTGGGTTCGAATTTCAAAGACATTTTAAAAAAGAGAGGTAAGGTCTTTGACTTAGCAACAGCAGATCCCAAAGCAGATGTCTTCCCACTCACCCAGTTATATGAGACAAAATATTAATTTGATAACCCTTTTATGAATGCTGGAAAATAAATAAATAAAAATGTAAGAGAGAGTTGCCCTAAAAGCATTTTTATTCATTTTTATTTTGTCTTTGTACTTCTACAAAATAGTTTTATTTAAATTTTTAAGTACTGTAAATAATTATTATTCATTTTTGACTACGATTTCTTTCATCTTCATTTTTTTTATTCATTTCATCCAAAACAAGGCAAGAAAGCCGCTAAGATGCAAGGGATATACTGAGCGTTAGAGAATATGAAAAAGAAAAAAAAAACTATTAAAGAGACAGAATAAAAGAACAAGAAATAAAAAGAAAACAATTGACATGAAATTTAAATATTTGAAGATCAAAGTTGGCTAGAAAGCAAGAGACCAGAAGAGAGTTCCACAAGCGAGAAGTGCGATAGAAGAAACTGTTAACACAGAAATTACTGTTACATTTAGCCATTTCAGCTGTAAATTGATGAGACCTTGCCGCCAATCTAGTACTGCGCTAAATTCATAAAGTTTAGGAATCATAAAGGACAATTCATCAGAACAATTACAATGAAAATATTTATAGAAAAGGCACAAGAAAGCTACGTAATTCTCTTTATTAAAAAAAAAATCTTTCAAAAATAAAATATACTTTTCTGAAATATGTTTTAGTAGGTGTTGACAGCTCCATTGACGGACTGACAGTCAGAAATTTTACTATTTTTTATACGAGGGACATATTTGTAAAATTACTTGAGAAATATAACGTCTGCGCCATTTTTATATAATTTTTAAGTAACCAGTAATTTTAAAAATTAGGAAAATATTTTAAATATTTTATTAAATTTTAGGTATTTTGGTTTTAAATTTACTATAGTTATCGCACTTATTTTTTAATATTGTCGTGTATAGACGTCAGTATTTTCAAAATTCGGGATATTTACACACAAACAAAATTCTCTTTTTTTTTAATATTGGGGGGGGGTCGCTGAATTGTAGTAAACTTTTCCATTTATGATTAGTAAATATAATTTTAACTTAACAATATCAACTAACCAGAACAAATTACACTATTTACATTATTCGGACTATTGTCCCCATCTTTATCGCCATATTTATTACAATGTTTCGGCTGTTGTAAGATGAGGACAATAGTCCGAATAATGTAAATAGTGTATATAATACCTCATCTAGGAAATATAGAGAGAAAGGTGAGGACAATAGTCCGAATAATGTAAATAGTGTACATAATACCTCATCTAAGAAATATAGAGAGAAAGATGAGGATAATACTCCGAATAATGTAAATAGTGTACATAATACCTCATCTAAGAAATATAGACAGATACAGAACAAATTAATATAGAATTTTAAAAGATTTAAAATTTTATAAATTATTCTAATTATAGTTTTAAAAAATGAAAACAATTCTAGTAAAAATCCATTATTCATCGAAAACATTTTTTTCTGAAGACAACTGTGTCCATAATATGTCATATTAATAAAAGCTTTTCTAATTAAATAATATCTCTTATGATTCAGAGCAAATTTTCGGTATATAACTAACATATGCATTAAACGCCACAAAATTTAATTTCTCAAAATTTCATAAAATTAAATAAATTGAGGGTAACAGAAATAAATGTTTTTACAAAGATTTTTTAAAAAAGAAACATTTCTAAAATAATCTCATTTATTTGTAAATACGTCCTGAAAGTTTTGCTAAAATCCGACAGTTATTTGATTTTTGCAAGAATTCCCAAATTAATTTTTTTTTTTTTTTACCGCAAAAAGGCGCTAAAATTTCCTATAGTAATTTATGGTCTCCCTTTGACGCACCCCCCCAAAAAAAAACAAAAACAAAAAAATTAACCAAAATTTCCAATGCTCTAAAAACGATGAAAAAATGTAATTTAATAATCAAAAATCCCTTTGGTCTTTTTCCTCTTAATAGATTTTGACTATAAAACTGTTCTTATTAAGTTTGGGGCATTTTTTCCTCATGAATGCTCATTTTATAGCTTTAATCTTTAGCAGTATATATATATATATATATATATATATATATATATATATATATATATATATATATATATGTATGTATGTATGTATATATTTATATATACAGAATTTAAAAGCAATTACTTTAACATGTTTCCAAACATAAAATATCACCGTGCAATAAAAAAAATCATAATTTGAAATTATAATCTAATTTTGAGAATGATAATTAATTAATAAAGTTAATGTAAAAAAAATGTACCAAACGTTCAGCCATTTAATATGAATCCCGTTTCTTCTCGTCAATGTACGAGATTTTGTTCTTGTGAAATGAACGCCTTTTCTTCATAATAATCTAATAATCCGAGAAACATTTTCAAAAATGTTTTTTTTGTATATTTGTAATTCCTTCCAGTTCTCAGTCAAGTTTAATTCATATTCCGAAAGAATTAAGGGCTTTATTTATAATCCAACATTTTTATTACTTCAGACGTTATTATAGTGGACACTCGTATTTGAAATAGACGCCGCTTTTTTTTTTTTTTTTTAAGTGAGTATTGCGTTTATCGTATTGCGCATTCGATAAATCTTAAAGAAAACGTGTTCTCCGGCGGTGACCTCCCTCATGTCCTTTTTGCTGACCACCTTGAAGCGAAGATAATGTCGCCTTATATATATATATATATATAAACATGTCTCATTAAATAATTTAAACATGTTTTATCTACTTATTTTTAATAGGATCCTCTCGTAATTACGGACAAGTTTCTTAGAATCCTTATTAAAGGAATAGAGACAAATTACCAGGTTGATGCATATTCATTTTATACCGAGTAATTTCGAAATTAATACAATGTTATCATCAGGGTATTGTTATTTTCTAAGACAAAAATTGTCTTCATTTTAAAAATTTAAAATTTAAAAATCGTACAGAACATACATAACCTTAGTGTTTTTCATTTCGCAAAACTTTAATTTTCAGATGAACACAAGAATTAAAGAATAACATTCTCAGACATTGAATAAACAAACATAGTATTGATACTGAACTATGAATAAAATAGTCATTCCCCGTAAAACAAACCCCAACTTTGAAGAGCTTGGAAAACCTGCAGCATTTTTTGCTTTTTTACGGCTTACCAACCTTTTGAAGGTTATTTAAAGCCAGAAAATATTTTTGGTTTGAAAGAATTTGGGAGGGGGGGAGATAATGATTTTACTGATACAGGTCCTACTATTTAACCCATAGCTGAGAGAAGAAGCGGTGGATTCATAACTTTCGCAAGGGTATTTGCTCGTAATATAACAAACCCGACTGCGATTCGAAATCGGCTCATCGATTTTCAATTCCGTGCCGTAATAGGATGTCTTATTCACAAAAGCTTTTCTAATTAAATAATATCTTTTATGATTCAAAGCAAATTTTCAGTAACAAAAAAAAAACAAAAATAGAATCCAAGTTTACAGCATCTGATATGCCAAGCGGTCACCCATCTAAGGACTGACCAGGCTGGACGTTGCTTAACATCAGTGAACGTACAGGACCCGGTGTTTTGACGTGTTATGGCCGTAACCCAAGGTAGACACGGGGGTTTTGAGAGGTCCGATGTGAAATATTTAGAAAGTTGCCGGAGATGAGAAACTAGGGCAATTTGCAATGAGTCTTCAAGTTAAAACATCTCTGATGATGATGATGATGATGATTACTTAAAACTTCCACACTTGCTTTGATAAAGTTTCTCAAGGAAGGAAACACGTTGGTATAAAAGGTTTTTCCTCTCGTCTTAAAAAAAAGTCAACCTTGTACCAATGAAAAGGGCATAAATTATTTTTCACTGCATTACAAAAGAAAAAACGAGAAAACGGTCAATTGCTGGTATCCCCTGACGAGTGGACGGAGCGATTGCTAGAGGGTCCGTCTGTGTGTGTGTGTGTGTGTGTTCGTGTGTGTGTGTCTGTCTGTGCACGCCCATTGTGTGTTTGTCTATGCTGAGAGACCGTGAAAACAAAAAGGCAGTCACATATAGAGGAGGGGCCGTGCAACCGAGAGGAGTGCAAAGATGAAGTAACAATCTATAAAAAAACAAACAATCACTGAAGGGTCGCATCCTCTGCTGTGTTGGTTGAGTGGGTGGAGGTGGGGGGGGGTGGCGTCGGTCGCTGTCAACTTTGTTAGTCGTTTTTCAAATAGAGCAAGAACTCTGACAGACTGCAAAAACAAATTGTGTTTATGGAGCTTTCAGTTAAAATGACCTTTGGGAATACGACGAACATCTGATAAAACGATTAGAATAGAAAGACACACATCCAAACATACATATGTATGTGTAAGTAGTCTTGTACGCACACGTACACAGTACGCACACACATATATTAAAAAGTGATGTTTAGGTAAGTGCATATTTATAAGTGTGTATGCATGTATGTATGTATGCAAGCTGAAAAACATTTGATAGTACACACACACACACACACACACACTATATATATATATATATATATATATATATCGTATATACTCACGTATCATGCGACTTTTGAAGACCTAATTTTGAAGCAAATTTTAAGGGGAGGGGGTCGCATCATACACGAAATACAAAATTAGCATATGTACTCGTGGCCCGGGCTATGCTGTTGAGCAAACCCTATATCCATTAACTGTAGTCAAATTAGCTACAATATGGGGTCTTCAAAGGTTGTATGATACACAATTATATATATATATATATATATATATATATATATATATCGGGGTGTGGTGAAAAGTTTCTCGTCCGACGAAGACGAATTTCCCTCCAAGATTAGGATATTTGCTCATTTTGTAAAGTTGGTGACGCTGAGAACTTTTCAGCAATCCTTGTGTCTGTGTGTGCGTTTATGTGTGCTCCGTAATACTTGTTACGATAAGGGTTATATTTAGCGGATGCTTATGGTAGAGTAGTATACTTTCTTTTTCACTAGAATTGATGTCAATCGGCCTAGTGATTGAAAATCTTACTAAAGAAAATGTGCCTTACGACATGAACAAGATCTGTATTCCTTTTTTTCAATTAAGGTAAAAACTTTTAAACCAAGAGGACTTTACCAATTAGGTCACGCGAAGAATCAAGGCGCAAATGTTGTTTTAATAACTTCTCTCCTTAAATATGTGCACATATACACATGTTTGTGTGTATGTAAAGTAAACAGTGTAAATTTATATTCCTAACATTTTCCGAGTAAAAGAAAAGCAAGTACCAGAATTTAATCCAAGACATTGTCTGTGAGATTCTGGTTAAAAAGATATATATATATATATATATATATATATATATATATAATTATGAACCTAAAAGAGCCAGGCAAACCTACCTAGGTTTCACCTACATGGATCATCTGGGTACACCTAAGGTTTTTACAGACGAGTATAATTACTTTTATATATATATATATATATATATATATATATATATATATATATATATATATATATATATAGAGAGAGAGAGAGAGAGAGAGAGAGAAATAAAATGCTTGAAAAATGCTTGCCACTTAGAGAACTGTGTCTGACCTAACGTACATTCAGCAAAAAGCTTGACGGAGCATTTCTAATGTCTTGGATACAATTTTGCTAAATGTTCATGAGCAAAATTAATCGAACTTTTTTAACCAATGTAATGATCGAACGATACAATCACTGCACGTTCAGATCGCTAATTTCCCAATGTACCTCATATATATATATATATATATATATATATATATATATATATATATATATATATAAATAACTAGACTCGTTTCGAAAAACCCTCAATTTTGATTTGCTAATAATCAAATCAATCTCGAGGAAAAAAGGTTTTAAAAAGAAAGAGCTACAAACATGAACTTCTGTCGACAAAAATCGCACAGATACAGGTCTGAAGCCCTAAGAAAAAACCCCGATACGAGTAAACAACTAACTAACAAAAGAGCTCAATACAACCGTAGAGCAGACCTAGAGATACACCTAGGGAGCCAGACAAACCTGCTTAGGTTTCACCTAAACGGATCGTCAGGGGAAAGTTTGGCTAACGAGGCAAAAGAGAAACACATATTTATAGGTGATAGCTAAAATCACTTTCCCTGACGATCCGTTTAGGTGAAACCTAGGTAGGTTTGTCTGGCTCACTAGGTGTATCTATCTATCTATCTATATATATAAAGTTTCTATATGCATTTTTTATATGTATATATATAGTTTCTATGTGCATTATAATTGTATAGGGGAATTTTATGACAAAGTGGAAAAAGTTTACTAGTGATGCGTTCCGGCCTTTAGAACTTCACCGGACTAATTTTGTTATGTTGGTAGTAATTGACATGTGCACGTCAAAAGGATACCGGGCATTTCAGAATTTTTTTTTGCAGCCTAATTCATTTAGAATCTTTTTCTTTCCATCACTTTTGTAAGTAGGTATTCCACACTGTGGCATTATATAAGTTTTGCTAGGAATGGTGAAAATATTGTAAAAGCCGGGGCGCAAATTTACTGCAGATGACCTTGTGACTAAGACACTTTCTAGACATTTATATATATATATATATATATATATATATATATCAGTGGCGACCCCGGCGGTCTAGTTTGTTGGAATGTCGACTCACTTGATTTATATGTATTTTATTTTCATTCTTGACTTCAGGTGGATCCCAAATTGATTGTTTAAGCGTCGTGTCTCAAAATATTGACCGAAATACATTTCGTTGATATTGTTCATAATAAAGAAAAAAAAGAAAAAGGAAATGAAAAAAAAAGTAAGTAAAAGAAGAATGTAAAGGAATTTAACGTGGCTAGTCGGGCTACGTAGATACCGAATCAGATAAAGGCGGTTAAAATTTCTTGGACACATAATGAAGAAAAAAAGACTTAGAGAATCTGATATTCGCAAGGCATATTGAAGGCTGCGTAGTAAAAGACCTAACTAGACAATTTATTTCTTGCTTTAATTGTATAAATAATGTTTGAAAAATGTGTAATGACTTGTATGCCCAGCTTTTCAAAGAACACGTTTTTATTTCAACTTATTCATTTTAAATAATTTATTCCGTACAGTATATTTTTTTTTAAAGCAAAATGTATCAATTGAAAAAAGTGCAAATTAAATATAGCCCGAACTAAAGCCGTCGAAAATCAAAGAAAGCCCTAACTCCCCGACTGGTGAGTTGAGAAGAGGGGTGTGACTGGGGTAGTGTTGAGGAAATATTATATCAATCAGCAGTACTGATCATAAACGTAAAATTCACAGAGATACATAAGCACACTAACGCATACACATATATACAAACACTCGAGATAGATACACACGTTATTTAAAAAATATCTGGCTAGAGATTTTAAAAATTGTATATTTTAGTTAGAGTAAAGGAATTATTTTGGCACCTAAGTTATACCAAAATATATTTTGTTAAAGGTTGAACTAGAATAGCATCTATCTATCTATATATATATATATATATATATCTTCGTAATTGCTGGTGTACCCAGGTCCGCCCTGACCCGGTGTGGTAACACCTGTTAGGGTCCCAGCTACGGGCAAATAGTTAACCCTGAAACTGGGGTAAAAACACTATGTAAGTTTAAAAATAGGGTTTAATACTAGAAATACCTTGTAAAAAATTATTTCCAACAATAAATTTTTCAAGAAAAAGATATTACCAGTAATAACTTTTTCAAGAAAAAAAAAAATATTAGCAGCAATATATTTTGGAAAAAAAAAATGTTACCAGCAATATATTTTTGAAAAAAAATATTACCAGCTATACATTTTTTGAGAAAAAATATTATCGGCAACATATTTTTGAAGGAAAAATATTACCAGAAATAGATTTTTAACAAAACAAAATATTACCAGCAAAAAAAATTTTGTCGGCATTAAATAACCCATTGAGGTTGATATATCGTAAAACAAAACAAATCAAAGCAAATCCATTGTTTTTAACCAAACTTGTATTATATATATATATATATATATATATATATATATATTATATTCAATATCCATACAAAATTATGATCTGAAGAATTCGTTGAAATGAAATGACACCGCTCGGTGTTGGCCTCAGTGTCCACTTTTGTATGTACACACTATCTATCTCTGATATTGAACACTTTAACCCATAAATATAGCGTACCTTAACACTATATTTTAATTCTGATAAGTGGACAGAGTGTCTGCTTGACGGTCTGTCTACCAATATCTGGAGTCGGGATGCTGAAGGTAACATCAATCAACTAAGTGACAAACCTTATATTGGTATTAAGTACGAAATAATTCAAATCTTATATTAGTATTAATTCCTGCGAGCAAAAAAGACGCTTATACTTAGAATCAGATAAAGGCCAAGCCGAGCTTCTCGACTTGACGGTCGAACTCTCTGCTTTTGAGCAGAAAGGAACCCGGACGAGGTTCCGCCGAAGGGCAGAATCTCGTTCGGGGAGAAATGACCAACCCGATCTCGTTTATACGGGTTCTACGGGCATTTTTTGGCTACGTGCTCGGGAAACCCACGATAAACTCGGCCTTGTGCCACATGCAACCCTCGTTTGGCTAG